TATATAAATTATTAATTAGACATTAATTAACATGACAAGACCATAGTCATCTCTTGATGCCGCCTGATTGGTCCGATATTTAGTAGATTTAAATACGTTTTGCGGTTGATGCGGTTACCGTAAAATTTATAATCGAGACTGTTTATTATCGTAACAACAATAGCAATGATAATCGAGGCTAGTCTATAATTGTATCGCCGACAGCTAGGCCCAGATTTAAGTAATCTGACTGAAATTTTCAACATATTCCCTTTTCATTATCTATTTTTTAAAAACTATTATAGCGAGAAACTGTCAGCTCTTTATCTAATGTTACCCAATGCCGCTTCAATTAACGGTTATTTAAAAAATAATCAATTTATGTACATCTTAGAGTTAAGCAGTGGAAAACTTTACATTTTCCGAAAAATCAAATGGCGCGCAAAAAAATTAGACAAATGGAAAAATATTTTAACCGATCTCGAAAGTGCGTGTGTGCTTTGTTGGGTCTCGTTTTAATTCAATTGAGTCCAAGTCAGTAGATTATCTAGTGTTAATATTTTGATTTCTTAAGCAAATCACGCGCAGAGACATTTAAGCCCCGATGTACCATTTTTAGCAATATAAATCACTTGCAAACTATAATCTTTTATTGGTAGCGGAGGGATCTGACGGGCGTAGTTTAAACTGGTTGAATCCAAGCCGGGTCATTATCCATACGTTCATATTTTGATATTTTACTAATTAAATAATCAATCAGAGTACATTTTACCGTGGATTTGTCCGTGAAAATGTATATATTTTCCGAAAAAAGCAAATCGCACACACAGAGACATGAACTGTTAGCCTATAGACAAATTGAAAATTATTTCTAACAGACCAGTGCGAATATCAAAAGTGCGTGTGTGCCTTTTTTAACGTCTGTAAGATAATTATAAACTAATTTAACACAAAATAATCATTTTATATGAATTCTTCCGAACTTGGATATTTTCTGTTATAAGATATATTTTTTTTATTGATGTCATCAGAGATTAACTGAGAAAATTAATCACCTTTTAATGTTTTCTGCCATGTTTTTTTATTTCTCCAATGACAACGACAATTAAAGAATGAACTGAAAATGTCGTTCAGTAAATACATGTTCGCGGGTGGGACGATTTACCCAATACTACCCAATACTACCCAATACCACCAAATACCACCCCGATACCACCTCAATATCACCACATACTACCCAATATTACAACATAATGATGCAAAATTGACATATCATTTGATTTTTTTTCATAAATAGAGAGTTATATCGCGGGAAATATACTTCATATGCGATAACCATGTCTGGCTGTTCCATTTGCCTCCCTATACCACCCCAAACAAGCCTATAATAACCTAATACTACCAAATACTCATCAAATACTACACAATATGATCAAATAACAGCATAATATTGTCAAATAACAGCACATTAGTATAATTACTGCAACGAATATTCGATATTTTGCAGAAAATTGAAATGTTTACCCAGTTATCTCCCTTTACAACCGGTAAATTGATTTTAGATTGCTACTCGGTTTAATCACCTTCTTTGGCTTTGCGGTAGGTTTCCAAGACGACAAACTTAAAATAAGAAAAACAAGTATGACGATATACCATATTTTATTCCCAAAATGACCCATATGTCTCTTACCGCTTGATAAGGTCGTCTGTCAAACAAAGTGGGTTTTCTCGGGTCCCCCGGTTTCATCTCACTGTTAAACACACCTTCGCGCAAGGGAGTTAATGGTTTAATATTGAACTATTATGTTAGTCCCTAAATTACCTAGTTAGTGTCGATTGTTAATGCTTTAACAAAACTACTGCATAATGTTTATATTCATTTTTTCATATCAACTATTAAGTTATTGCGTATTTACTTACTGCACGATGTGTTATTTTAAAATTAACGAAATTGCACATGTTTCTTTCCAGTGTATAACTCTCGACGCGACACTTCTCAGTTCATCAAAACTATCATTTGCGGCCTGTTACAGCTCTGTCGGTTTCTTTGATAATATAAATAAACCAGAATTTGATTACCCAATCAACAATCTTAACCCCATTGATTAATTGTTAAGTCAGGTGGAATGTATATACGAGTAGAGTATTACACATTTGTGATAAACATGTGCATTGTAATAAACATATGCAATTTCGTTAATTTTAAAATAAAACATCGTCCATTAAGTATATATGCAATAACTTAATCGTTGACATGAAAAAATAAATATAAACATATGCATATGTGGGAGGAAACTGGTCACCGTGTCTATTCATTTAGATGGTAATGACATCGCCGCGACATCGTCACCTGTGGATATATACCGTAGAATACTTAAAATTTGTTCAAAAGTGACAATATTCGAAGAATCGGTGAAATTTTGACAAGAGGGGTTTTTTCAAGGGCGACTGGTTTGGAACCGGAATCATTTAAAAGACAAAGAATACGCGTTAATAAGTCATTAAAAGATAGATATAAAGATAAATTCGTGTGCTTTCCTGACATATTATACCTAAATGAATTTTTACAGGAACGTGTGCACTTGTAGACAGAGTGTTATAATACTAAAATCACCAGGATGAAGAAAAATATAGTAGAAGAAGACTTTTGAGTAGGCCACGAGACCGTTAAATGAACATTTTTAAATCAACCTCTAAAATATTATTTTATTTGTATGTTTGGCTGTTTATTTTATAAACAGATTTTATTTTAATGCATTTTTAAATCTTTGTTAACTTCTTTTAAAACTCTTCTTTGTTTTGGAAACAAACTTCAAAGCCCAACAAGGTGATTGGGTAGTATTGGGTAAATCGTCCCGCCGCATGTTCGCTGGGCTAATGAAGACTGGGATACAATGTGCAATGAGGGGAATTTTGCCAGGACAGCGGCGCTACGGCTTATTCTTATATCGAATTCCAACTGTCAGGATTCTTTTACGTGCATGTCAATTGGTACACGGGACCTCGATGTTCCGTCCTATCCGAACGACTATACATTGTCCCTCCCCAGGCCCCGATGGACGTTTCTCGACCAACACCGGGATCGAACACAGGTCAGCGAGTCAACATCTTACTCACTGAGCCACCACGAGTCCACGACTCCCTTCTTCTAATATACAGCCAGGGTTTGAATTCATTTTTAAATACATCCTGAAACACATTTGACCAAACTATTAGCCTTATTTTCTACAGACGGTGAAATTGATGTAAATTTAATCGACTGATAATTAGATATTACATTAGGAACTCTTGTAGGACTCGTCAGGACGAATATTGGAAAATTAAAGATCTTCCATTTTTTCAAACTCTTTCTCTATACTTTTTTGTGCGTTGATTTATTAAAATAAGACAATATTTTAGATATACATATACTTTAATACACGTATGAACTCAACTCGGTAGGCGCTGAAAAGTAGAACATTAACGGACCTAATCGCTATCATTTGGGACCTAGAAATTGACACAAATGGGTCGCAACGCACCATAATTTAATATGAATGTATATAAACTGACTTACTTTAAATCGTTTCTGTTTTACTGTAATTTCTAATCAGTTATGTTCGGCGAAATACGCCAGAAGTCTCAATCGAATGGCAATATCTAGCGTTTGGTTAATGCACATGCTCTCCAGATAAGAATATGACGTCACCGTTTGACATGACTTGTGGAATATGTCTAGCTCCGTTCTTCGAGCCCCTTGTTACAAATGGCGCTGAAGCGCAATATGGTACACGATTCGTGTACCAATGGTGAAATGGTTTTTTTTTGGTCTTAAATATTGGATATCAGAAGCCCATCTTTTTCCGGTAAGACCACAACATCAATGTTAATTTAAATTGACAAAAAATTAATGTTTCCAATGTCGAAGACTTTGGGTGATACCGAGTTCGAGACTTAGCTACTTTAAACCCTTCTATAATATAACTGAATCCAGGTCGGTAGATATGTCTTCTTTCAATGGCATTTAGTAATTATAAGATTATATATATGTCGTTGATATTTTGATTTTGTTTTCTTAATTAAATGTTGAATAATCAATTTTAGCGTATATTCGTGCGTGATATTTAGACATTTTCCGAAAAATACAAATGGCAATTAGCGATTTTAAAGAAACAAGGGCGTTTTTTTACGAATTGGTGAGAGTAGTCACCTTTGAATATGTCTGTTCTTATGAATTGGTGAATATTCCTTGTAAATACTTTAGTCATAAAAACAACCCATAAAACATAATCCTTATAATACATATAGAAATAGATTTCACAAATTAAAAACACTTATATGGATATACTACTTCTGAATTTATTTATTTGCTTTATAAAGATACCTGTATGTAGCATGTTAATAAATTAAGAAGCAGTATATCCATATGAGTGTTTTTAACTTACAAAACAACAAATTATTAATTGGAAAATCATTAAAGCATCTTTTTTCTCCTAAAATATTATTGTACGTGTTGTAATTAGTGACACGCGGGCCTACGCACACACGTCTTCGCCAGAGTCATCCCAAAATAAATATCTTAAAATGGACCAAGAGAACCATTATATTAAAGTGAATTATTTAATAGAAAGTAATTCCTTGATAAATAGCGCCACCTCTCGCCATTACAGCTAACTTGGTTTAATTAACGCTTACAAATTGTATCCAAATAAGTTAACCCGAGGCTTAATTTAATGCCAGGCCTCCCTCGGGCAGAACATAGGCGCGAACTTCACTTTAAGCAGACGACCCTTCTCAAGTTGTAGCGTTATTGACCAATGAAAAGGTGTTGAAAATTTCCTTCAAAATGGCTTAATGTGATTTAAGAAATGATGCCGAAGAAGTCTTAAGAATCAAGCAAACAAGCAAATGAGAAAGAAAAACACGGTGTAATTAAATCAGCGTATTTTATGTGATGAGTGGAAACGTTCTAAATGAATTATCACCAAGTTTTCTGTTTGTTTAAACATTAAGTCAGCCCGTGTTTTTTTTCATGCCTTCAGGTCTGGTTCCAGAACAGGCGCGCAAAATGTCGCAAACACGAGAGTCAGATGCAGAAGGGTAAGTCATAGATATGGTGAAATGAAATGAAATGAAATGGGATTTAACGTCATATTGTTCTGCTTCGACTGGTATAATGAAGACGGGCATACATCTTGGTGTGCGCTATGATGGGAATTTTTCCTGGAGAGCGGCGCTACGGCCTACTCTTATATCGAATTCCAACAGCCAGAGGTTCTTTTAAGTGCACGCCAATGTGTACATGGGACCTCGGTTTTTCGTCTCATGCGAACCACTGTCAAGGGAGAGCCACGCCGGAAAATCCCGATGAACTTTCCCGGCCAACACCGGGACCGAGTCAAGGTCTTATTCACCGAGCCACAGCGGCTCTAATAGATATAGTATTTCAACATAATCGGAACCGGAAATGTAATGTGATACTGACAATATGCCCCTCCTAACACTGCATGGCGTATACCTGTCTTCATTAGCCCGGCTGATACAGTAAAGCAGGACGCTAAACCGCATTTCATTTCATTTATCACAAACAAATGAAGATGGCCCAAAAATTAAAATCATTTAAAAACAACAAAACATAATAATGCATTAGCAGACAGTCAGGGTTCTTGTATATTTGCGAGGGAAAATAAATTTATGTATCAAAATATGAATCAACAGAGAGACGTGCTACCATATTATTTCGATATTTTATACGTGTACGGTGTAGATATATTTCGACGCCAGTGTCTTGTACACAAAAACCAAGTCCGTGCGATTATCGTCTAATTATTCTTCTTAAACAGATTTGGAGAAACGACGGAACTGTAAAATGTAAAAACAAAATGTCGAAAAGACATCACATACAAATACTGAATGATTATTGTAAAAAAACAAGCGAACAAATATTAAGTGCTTTTCTCAAGGGTACCATATTATATCAGTTAATTATTTTTAAATCGAATTAATGTTGCTTACCTAACAAAATACATTTCGTTAGAAAAGACATTTAATTTTTTTTTATTTTATTTTTTGTCTTTTATCCATTCACTTGATATGATATGTGCGTTTGTTGTTTCTGATGTCTGTATATTGTGTTCTGTCCCATGTTCCTAAAGCAACGACTGCTAGTTTCACAACACCTTGATAAGATGTACGTAGTTAAAGCGAGATCAAGCCTTCTATTGAAGATGGCCCTGTCCATAGGTTTGTCTTGTGTTATTGTTTGTGTGTGGTGAGGTCCCCCTGCACTTACTATAAATAACAATATGTTTAACTAATCAAGATGGGGGTTGGGATGGCCTAGCGGTCTAGAGTGTCACGCTTCGATCTCCACCTGACTGGTCACCTCTGGCTTTCTGTTGTGGTTTCGATCCCTGGTGTGAGCGCATGCGGGTACTCCGGTTTCCTCCCACAGGAAAGACGCGTGCGCTAACATAGTAAAAATAAGAATTGTCTGCCATATCACCCTGCCATATCACCAAGAACAACAACTAGTAATCAAGGTAGGCCTATCAACGATCAAGATTAAAGTCGTACTTCGCTTAAATTACCTCTGTTCCAGCTGAGACTCGAACTCAAAAATTGCTTGCTGTTTCTTCAATTTTTAATTATTCAGGACGGAGGGGTTGACAAAGAAAGCTGTCTAGTCGTTCGGATGGGACGAAAAACCGAGGTCCCGTGTACACATTGGCGTGCACGTAAAAGATCCCTTGGCAGTTGGAATTCGATATAAGAGTAGGCCGTAGCGCCGCTGTCCGGGCAAAATTTCCCTCATAGCACACTGTATGGCGTATGCCCGTCTTCATTAGCCCAGGTTAGGAGCAGAACAGTAGGACGTTAAACTCCATTTCATTTCATTTCATTTCAATTTTTAATTAATATGGTTAAAACTTAACGACATACCTGGAATTGTCATCCCTTTACTTTCTTTGTCTAGCCTTAACGCATAGAGTCCAGTATTCTCTTGTAAATTTCACATATTTCGACAGTGTCCAATTCTCAGAACATAAACATTACCACTGCGCCTGCTTAAAAAAAGTTAGTATAAAGTAGAGATATTCAAAATTGCAAAAACACAAGTGTTGAAGACTTAGTCACAACAATGATGAACTAACGAGCACTTGATTACAATAAAATTCAACTTGATTACAATAATGTTCAACTTTATTACAATTTACGCAGGCGCAGTGGTAATGTCTATGTTGTCAGAACATAAACATTACCACTGCGCCTGCGTAAAAAGTTAGTATAAAGTAGATATTCAAAATTGCAAAAACACATTGTCTGCGATATCACTTATGTGGAAGCAGACGTTTAACACCAAGAACTACTACTACTGCAAAAACACAAGTGTTGAAGACTTAGTCACAACAATGGTGAACTAACGAGCAATGTTCAACTTAATTACACTTGTGTTCAACTTGAGTACAATAATGTTCAACTTGATTACAATTGATTACAATCGAAGGATATTGTCATCACCTTATAAAAACATATGCGGGGCACGTGACAGGAGGCAGGTATGTGAAGAGGAAGAGAAGGCACATTGAGGAAAAAGGCGTACATTGTGGAATACTATACACCCCTGTGCATGAATATATGTAATGTCAGCACGCTCCTGGCTAAAAAAACAGGATGTGTTTACAGAAACATAACGTAATATTTTTACGAAAAAAACTTTCACAACAGTAAAACTGGTTTGAAAGGCGGGTTATGAAGTTATCTAAGAATGACCCAATGACGTGTAGACAAAAATATTCCCAACAAACAACGTTTACAACATTACACTATAATGCTAAGATATAATTCCTAGAAGTCATGAACTTATTTATATAGGACATGAGTTATTAATTAGCAGTATTGTTTTTAATTTATACATATATATAAAACATCCAGTCTTTGCAAGGAGTTAAAACTTGTTAGGAATAGGTTACCGAAATAGCTTTTGTTACAGCACGGTAAACAATGGGCAATACTGTTAGATTTCTAAATCAATATACATATTCGACATTTAGTATAATGATTCAAGATAAATTGAATTTGTTTAAAATTTTAAAACATGCAAATTTGGAAGTAAGACTCTTTGAGGGGAGGAAGAAAGTGGGTTTTTTTCTTTTGAATTAGTTGTTTCTGGAGGAAGAAACAGGAAACAAGATTTCTTAAAGGCTCAATACCACTCTTGGTGTAACTGAATAATATGTCCCAATCTTTATTCTGGTCAACAAATTGTACTATTTTACAATATTCCAATTAATTGATGATACAAATTTCATCTTAACACACCTTATTTAAAAATTTTGAAAAATTCAACATAATGGTTTGAAACGTCTAACGTAAACCTTTTCAAATGAAACTTCGATTTAAAAATATTTTCGAACCCTCCGGACAAGTAAAATAGGATGTAATGGATAATTTACACAACAGGTAGGACACTTAAACATCTAGTACTTAGATAGAGATATTATTTATTTTCTGGAGCTTTCAAGCCAGCAAGAGTGTTATTGTCCCTTTAAAATGAGTTTCCCAGAGAACTGAAATTCAGCTTGGTGTCCGCTAAACTAGACTAGAAATGACTCTCCTGTTTAAGGGTTCTTTTACGTGCACATTTAACAAAAGAGGAGAAAGAAAATAGCTTTAAAAAGACCAATAAGTCCGACTAGAAATAAAAATAAAGTACTTCAGCTTTAACCGGTGTGACTATAGCTGGTGAATCAATCACTTGAAATCCTGACCCGACTCTCCGAGAACATTCTCTAAAAAGATATCATTATTTCACCCCGATTTCTTCACAGCTCCAATAAAATCTTAACTCAATACAAATTGGATACTGTTTTAATGAATATTTCACTAAATTAATCACATTAGGTCTCGAGAAACCGTCAAAGGCCGTTCGACCTCTATTAACCCTCTGTTATGCATTCGACGGGCGAGGAGTTCTAATTAATTTAATTTGGAGAGTATATTTGGCTAATTGGCGATACCGCAGTCAACAGATTTACTCCATTTTGAAAAGCGGTGATGTGCTCGTACGTCCCTAGTGGGACGATTTCCTAAATTAACGCAAAACAGTTCATCTTTATTTAATTTGGTTCCAATCCGAGGAACGAGAGACGCGAGCCATAACGTATTCTAGAGAAGAGAAGGGTGGAAAGAAAACTGATGAAATTAACTTAAAGTCCAGCGTATTCAGTATTTCAACACGGCTCTCTTAATTAAGGAACAATGGCGTCCAACGTCACGTTTGTTATATGTATAGCGTCTAACTGACAGACTTGTCGATTCTTTAAGCAAGGGTTCATTTTACAATCTACATTTCATTAGTCTTCCTATTTATCGTTTAACCTTTTACTCACTCTCCTTCATTTATTCTTTTATTTTCTCTCGTCTCTTTAATTCTTGAAAGGCGCCGGGGGTCAACCATCGGGAAACCCATATCAATGTTGTCAACATGCACAGTTGCACCGGTTAGCGGGGTGATGGGGTAAAGGGTGAACGGTGATAGGGGGGCGGGGGTGGGGGCTGTATGGCGTCGGTGAAGTGTCAAAAGGATGTATCTAAGGATTTCTAAAGATTAAGAAATATAACCTTTTTCATTTCAAAATTTCCACAAATCGAGATACAACATTTGGACACACGATACCCATGTACACAGCTTAGATAGAAATGTGCATATTATTTGGGAGATTTTAAAAATGCAAAAAAAGAGTGTATTTGACTAATTTCCCGAGATACACCCTTTTGACACTTAACCGACGATGTGTGAAAGAACAAAGATGGTTCTCTATGTTAAGGGACCGTATTCAGAATTATGGTCACTGCTATCCCTTTGCGTACTAGATAGGGGCGCATCTTCAGTTTGCCCACCCATCCCCCACTACCGTTGACTGCCCTTAACAAAAAAACTAACACAGTAGACACAGGGCCAGATTAAGCTTATATGGGTCCCCTAGATGTCACTGGGACCCTTGCAACACGCTCACACAAACTGGTGCCACCAAGTCATCCCCTTCTAAGTCTAGCTCTGAATACATATGCTATATCAAGCATATTGTTCGACAGTAAGCAGTGTTGAGATATCTTTAATCAAAGAGTGTCCTTCCCAAAAAAGTACAGTTAGGGACAGACCGCTTCCCACCCTCCTGTGAGTAGGTGTGAAGGGGCACAAATCTTTGCACTTGGGCTACAATACCCATATTCCCCAAGATTTATATTTCTGATTAAACATACGTAACAACATTAAAATTATGTACATGTACTCGGTATAATTATTAAAAATATTTTAGTTTCATCACCTTGTTTCATAACTTAAAATAACTTAGTAAAATAGACCGCATAAGTATCCGTGTCGAGGCGCCAAAAAGTATCTTACATATTTTTGTTCTTGAGGAAGCCACGTCTCTCTCTCTCTCCCTCTCTCTTAAATTTCAGACAAATAAGAGCGCTAGAAGTATTAATTCTTTTCCGTCAACAACACTTGCACATCCTTCACTCAAGTGTCCAGAGGCGTGGTACAAGTTACAATATCATATTCATATCACATCAATGTTTACAAACATATTTATAAAACATACATATAACGCAGTAAAAACATTTGTAATATAAAAATAACAAATTAAAACAGACATATATTTTAAATATATCTTTATTTTCAAAAAAGGACTAGTTACTACAGGGAGTTGTTCCCGCCACCCCACCACCACCTGATCAAAAGGGGCGTATCCCAGTGTGAGTCACGACGAGGAGGGCACTGAACCCCACTGAACCAATCGGTTGCCAAGGGAACAATGGTGGGGAAGGGGCAATAATACATAGATGATTAAATAAGGAGATAATATTAAAATAAATGGTGATATAAAAGGCTGATTATATCCAAAACGACAGAAATGAACAAAAGCAACAACAACAAAAAAAGATACCCCAAAACAACCCGAACCAAACCCTAACTCCTTGACTAAATGAATTTTTTTTCTTTTGAGTTATTTTAGCAAATTCAAAATATTCTTCCATTACCAAATACCAATTTAAATTATTAGTGAATGTTCATTCGATGTTGCGATATTCTAATTGTGTTTAGAATTGAAGAATTACAACTTTCGCTAATCACATTCCGTCTGGATAATTTCTAACCAAGTTGGTGATTAATTCTAAAACTTCTTTCAAGTTATTCTCCAATCCATCGAGACATTCAAATATATAAAGTTAGTAACTTGATTATAAAAACTCGCCCATTTCAACCGAAATCTAATCGCGTAAATTACTCCTTTCATAAAGATGACATCAATTAATAATGTCATTAATGAGCTAAAATAAACTAAAAACCAACAAATTACAGCCTTTATTTGCCGTGTTAAAAATCATTTTCCACACAAAAAGATTGGCGGCCGATTCTATGATCAAATTTCGTATCTCAAACAGCAAGAAATGAATAAAAACGTCTCCTATATTCATGCTTGTTTATTTTACTAAATCAAATTTTCTCCCGCAAACAAGCGTTAAGTCATAAATAACGTATCCTCAACAGATACCAAACACTAATAATCCCGAGAAAATTTTCCAATTTGCTTTCTGTAATTGTGGGGTTGACATGGGCTGGCCTGCGTCGTCTTTAATTCGAGGTCGAAGCAATCGGGGAGATGAACTCGGGACAATTGGACCGGCGGAGTGTTATTTGAGTTGAGAGGGATGGGTTTGGTTGTGCGTTATACATAGAATAAACCAATTACTACGCGACGACTCCACTAGTTAACAACAACTCATAAAAATTTGTTTACAAATGTCCCGTTCCGCTTCACCATTCTCTCAATTCATTGTATCTTTAAAATGATTAATGATTTAAGATAAATATTAGATTTCCTCGGTTCAAACTGCAAGAGGTCATCTTTTTAAATTGTCTTCATTTGTAACACGACCTCGCTGGCCTCTCGTTTAACGGTTTTTGGGACGTCTTTATTTTGAAATACCGCTTGATTCAACACGCGGGCCTTAATGAAAAGTCATTGCCGTGATTAGTCAAACATAACGGAATGTCACAGAGGATAATTGCATTCGAAACACCAATAACGTTCGCTCAATTTACCGAGGATTGCTGGTCATTCGCTTGCTCTTACTTTGAGACGGACGAGAAAAGTAAACAGACGCCGACATAGCAATTATAGAAAGCCAGGGGAAAGCCAGTGATTAATGGTATAATAAAAGTCGTCTATTAGTCCTTTCATCACGTACACTCATATTATATTCACACATTATATTACTCGACTCCCGATGTCTGGCAGATTTACCGACACCGACCAACAGCTTCCCTTCCTTTAAAAGCTTTGGGTATAAATAAGTTTATGGTGAAGTCACTGTAGACCTGGCAGTCTAGCCGTTAGAGCTAGATCTATTGGCTGTGACTATTGGTAAGGGCTAGGTCTATTGGTAGGGAGTGTGCTATGAAGGCACTATGGTCTGCTCTTATGCCGAATTCCAACTGCCAAGGGATCTTTTACGTGCATGCCAATGTGAAGAATAGTCAGGTCTAGTCGTTCGAGAGAGAAATGGGGTTTAACGTCCACGTGACACAAACTAGGTCATTTCGGGACTAACACATGGTTTTAATTTTATTTCAATAATTTGCTTGCGCGTAGGGGTCTTTAGCAGTGGGAGGAAACCGGAGGACCCGGAGAAAACCCACGAGGTTGGACAGGCAACCCTACTCCTTGTCACGTACAACCGGGGATTCGAAACCACGCCAGTTGACTCAATATCAGGCCTTATGATACAGCGCGCGCATGCTAAACATTCGCCCCCCCCCCCGGTCCCCTCGTCATGACCAAATTCATAGCTAGATGAGCTTAGTCGTTATTGAATGGGGGGGTTGGTCTCGTCAACACCCATTTAAGGCCCTTTTTCCATGTGCTGGTTTTTGCGGCGATTCCGCGCGCGTTGCAATTGCAAATGTAATGGGGCCATTTCCATGTAACTAGCGAAAACGCGCGTGGAAAACGGACCACCCTGTACCATTAATGCTTATATACTTTTGTTCTATTTGGCTTTCGTTATTGTTGATTGCGTCAGCCACGTGTTAAACAATCACATACTTTACAGTTGACCACCGTTCTATAAAGTGATTTTATTGTGATTTTTGTCTTACAAAAGGCAATGAAATGAAATGGGGTTTAACGTCCTACTGTTCTGCTCCGAACTGGGCAAATGAAGACGGCATACGCCATACAGTGTGCTATGAGGGAAAATTTGCCCGGACAGCGGCACTACGGCCTACTCTTATATCGAATTCCAACTGTCAAGGGATCTTTTACGTGCATTCCAATGTATACACGGGACCTCGGTTTTTCGTCCCATCCGAACGACTAGACAGCTGTCCTGCATCACTGACAAGGGAAGCCACGCCGGAAAATCTGGATGAACTTTCTTGGCCAATGCAGGGATCGAACATCCGACCTCCAGACTAGCGAGCCAGCGTCTTACCCACTTAGCCATCGTGATCCACAGGCTATTCATTCAGAGCGACAAATAGTGATAAGAAACTGTCAGGGCCTTCACGGAAAACCACGTAGTTGGCCTTGAGCGCAAAATCGTCTAGCACTAGTTCTGCCATGTTTATAATTTAGACAATATGTTTAGGAACCAAAATGATCTGGTTCAAGTCCTGCTATTTAGTACTAAGTAGGCCTTCTTATGAGACATTTTAGTCCTGAGAATAAATCTATTTCTGCGCAAAACGGAAGAAATACTTTGTTTGCTATGTGAATAATTTTTTGTTTTAATTATATTTTTCAGCTGGTTTATTGATGCATTCACAAGGTACACCATTAGACCCATGTCGTGTTTCACCATTTGTAAATCTACCCAACGTTCGTGGAGAACATCTGGATCGTCTACCATTTTCTCCTTTTTTACCCTTCTACCCTCTTCATCCTGCTACAGCCGCAGCAGTAGCCGCAGCCGCAGCAACCCAGCATCCGATTCACCCAATGTTGCTGTATCACCATCATTTAGCGGCTTTAAACTATTCGTCATTACCAACTCAGACTGAAAGTAGTTTTCGTTCTACAAAAACTTCTAGCATAGCAGACTTGAGATTGAAAGCGAGACAACATCTTGCTAATCTCGGTATGTGATGCTGTTTAACGAGACTTTGTTGTTGGAGACGATTTGATTAACGAATGCACTCGCATGCTCATCCAACATTTCTTTTTTTATTCCTTTATTTATTGAACTCGACGACTTATTCAAGAGGTGCGGATTATCACAAGATTTTAAACAATTCGACTGATATAAAAGCAGAAAAAAATAAGTCAATTATGAGTGCTTTCCCTTGGATAGAGGATAAGCTATGACTTGGGACTTTATTAATGTGATCTACTTTTTTGTTCCTTATGATCTTTTTCATCTACCATTTCTACCGTTTATATTTAATTCCATGTGTTTGCGGGCAAACTAGAGATACAACCATTCGTTTAAACAATATTTTTATTCAGGATATCTGGATGTGATTGGGGAACAGGCTTAGTCTCTGTAAAACCCCTCTCCCTATAGAACCATTACTCTGATTAAAGTATTTAAAAGGTTTTTGAGGCATCTTTAAACTTTTGCAAACTACAATAATATAGTGAAAATCGAATCCCATGGGAGCAATATCAGTCTAAAAATAGTTCAAAATCGTCTCAATAATTACAAGGATATGATGAAATGAAAATTTGGCAACATCCAGTCGTTGTTTATTACAAATTTAACGTCCAATACATTAAACATGATATTATAGACAGGGCAACATCCAGCATCCTCTGCAGATTATATACGGGATATGATCAAAACAAACCAGAGCCACCCATAATCTTCCCTAAAATCTTTCATGGGCTTCTTTTTAATCCAACTGAATCCAAATCGAAGGATTATTTTGATTTTAATTTGCTTATTGCATATCTTTCTTTAGGCCTTAAATGTTATATAAACTATTAATTAGACATTTATTAACAGAAGAATATGAAAGTCAACTCTCGATGCCATCTGATTGGTACGATTTTAAACAGATTTGAATCGGATCTGCGATTAACCGTAAAAATGGATAATCGAGACTTTGTTTATCATCGTAACAACGGTAACAATGACAATCGTGGCTACAATGTTTTTGAAATTCGGTTTTCTCGGCTCAGAGTGAGGTAATTTGAAATTTTCAGCATTTTCTCTTTACATTATCTATGTTTAAACTATTATAGCGAGAACTGTGAGCTCATTATCTAATCTTCCATAATGCCGCTTTAGTTAAATGTTAAATAATCAATTTGAGTACATTTTCGCGTGGATAAAAGATGCATTATGTAAGATTTAGATAAAGAGATGACAGTTCGCGCTATAATAGTTCAAAAAAAGAAAATGTAAATGGAACATAATTTTTATTATGAATTAATAGGATCACATTGTGATTCAGTTTCATTGGTGCAAAGCATTAATTGTGATATCACATATCTCTACCATTATCTCGCGCTTTGAATGCCCATCCCATCCCACCATCCGATAAGGATAAAGCACACGATCGTGACACTTTTCTCGTAAAAAGTGTTATTTTACATATTTTTATGTTGGACCCCCTCCCCCCATTCCCCACCCCCGCCCTCTGAATTCGCCCTGTATTGTTTATTTTCGAAACTATAAACCTGGTGCGCTCGAATGCTTCAATCATAGTGAGGGGAGGGAACTCCTAATAATTTATTAAAACAATCAGTTCTGAGACTATGGACTTCATGCCTTGATTTGACCTGTAACATTTTTTAAAAGACTCCTATCATCTTAATCATTAAAACCACAAAGAGGTCAACATGTCACAATGAATACAAAGGCTGTTGGCTTACTATCTCGAGGTTGTTGTATTTTTTACTTGGTTCGGCCCCCAAATCATGAATATTCACCAAAACCTGACAAAAATTCTAACCTATAGATAGGTAAATCCAGCACTGTACTAATCTTTATATCTATATCTTCACGCATTAAATTATTAAGATCGTGATTTAACATAATGATTTATGACACCCATATGATTTAAAGCACATTACGTCATTACCCCCTCTAAAGGGGCATCAATTTTGTGATATTTTGTCTGGTATATCGTAACATTAGGCCCATTCTCTTCACCTCTCAGATCAAAAAATATATGCTGTTAAAGTATCGCTAAAATATCACATTTCTCACGGCCGAATCCACGCTAATGTGCTCAGGTTGATTATTCAATATTTAATTAAGAAAACAGAATCAAAATACTAACGCAAGATAATCTCCCGGCTTGAATTCAATCAGAATCAAAATACTAACGCAAGATAATCTCCCGGCTTGAATTCAATCAGATTTAAAACAGGCCTACAAATAAATCTCTCGAAGCAGCATAGGTCGATAAAATTTCAATTCCACATATCTGTCTAAATACTGAACTGAACTAAGCCATTTTTGACATATATTCGTTGGAGATTCACTTTTCACAATATTGTAGTTTGCTTTTGATTCATACAGCACTAATATGGCGCACCGAGAAGACTTTAATCGCAGGCCGAATTGAGAGAGCCGAACATTATGAAATCAATAATAATATTACATCCAGTATCATCGACCGCGCCCACACTCTAATCGATGTATTCAAAATAATCACCAATTGATTTGTTTTCGATGGGTGAAAAGGTTGATGTGTGAGCGATGTGACTTCTGATGAAGCTGATCATGTTAAACACCAACCAGTATGTGGTACTTATCAATCTCCCGAGGGAGGAGGTGGGGGGTGGTTAGCACGTGCGCGCTATATCATAAAGCCTGTCATTGAGTCAACTGGCGTGGTTTCGAATCTCTGGTTGTACGTGACAAGGAGTAGGTCGCCTGTCCAACCTCGTGGGTTTTCTCCCGGTCCTCCGGTTTCCTCCAACTGCTAAAGGCCCCTACGCGTAAGCGAATTATTGAAATAAAATTAAACCATATGTTTGTCCCGAAATGACCTAGTTTGTGTCGAGTGGACTTTAACCCAATTTCTCTCTCTATCAATCTTCCAAGCAGAGTTGTCTTCCCTTGCAGTTCACACTAATGCTGGATAGCGATTTGTTATAATGAAGACTAGACTTGCATGAGAGAATGAGTACTTATATGATCAGAAAACACAAATAACAGGGGCGGATCTAGGAATTTGAAAAGGGGGGCGCTGCAAAATGAAGGCATTGACCGCGGAGACGGGGCACGCCGCTGAGGGGGGGGGGTGTCCCCAAGAAAATTATCCGTCATTTCCTTGCATCTGTAGCCATTCCAAGAGCTATTTCCCAGACTGGTGTGTTTGAGTCGATGGTTTGAGTCATTTGGGATCCCTACAACGGGTTGGGAACGGACATATTTGCGTCTGAGAAAAGGCACTTTCAGCAGTAAAAAAGGGCACTGTCGAAAATTAGGGGGGGGGGGGCGCCCCCGTTTCTAATGCTGATGTATAGAATTATTGCCATCAGCTGTTCCAGAAGGAGTAAGCAAACCCTCTTCCACGTGCGGCTATAGTGTTATCTTAATTCACGCTACATTGGTTTTTACTGATACACACGTTGTTGCTGATGATACCTGCATGCGAGTATAAATGAACTTATGTAATTCTATCTTGTTAATATTACTTATAATTAGCCATTTTATTGTAAATATCGTTCTAATTAATATTATAAATAAATATCTATTATACATGTAATCGCAAGTAGTCTGATTCCAGCAAAAAATATAGAACGGATGAAATGGGGGTTAACGCAGTGGCGTGGCGTGGCGTGGCGTGGGCGGGGTCATCGGAGTTGCCCAGGGCGAAAAATTCTTATTGAAGAATACAGTTTCAAAAGAAATCTAATAATGATAATAAACATAAAGTAGCGCGCCCTTCCCTTCACATGGGCTTGAGGCTCCGGTAACTGCCCACGGATTTGGGGGCACAACGTAACGTCCTAATTGTCTGCACCCAACGGGGTAATAAAGATGGGCGCCATATAGTGGTCTATTATGGAAATTTTTCACGAACAGTGGCGTTTCCGACTGCATGACATCGAATTATAACTGTCAATGGCTCCTTTACGAGCACGCCAACATGTACACGGGTAGCCTTGGTTTTTCGTCCCATCCGAACGACTAGGCAACAACTTACTTGCCAGCCCCGTAGCCCCGTAGGCACCACCTCTAACAAGGTGTGTGTGTGTGTGGGGGGGGGGGGTATGAAATCTTGTAATTACCCTTTTACTTGTCAATAATATTATATATACTCTTCAAAAAAAGTAGGGGATATTGAAATGCAAATACCTATGCAGGTTGCGATATGATAAATAGTCATGGACATTTGACATGCTTTGAGAGTATGTTCACAGATAAAGAACTTATCGCCCCAACAGAACCACTTAGCCATACTGCACGCAGCGACCCATCTACGTCATACTTCCCAGAATGTGTCACTGCCCCGATTAGCCGCCATTTAAAACGCCCACGTGACCATTTTGGGGCGGGACTTATCGACTAAACACCGATTTGTTTAGACAACAGAGTAAAAATAACCCACGCACGTGTGTTTTATGTCAACACGCCATGTCGCTGACACTCGCGTAAAAGCGATATATAATATGTGCTATGGGTAATATTGCAATAAATTCTTTTCCATTGTTAACTGTCTTTAGAGTTTCAATCTGTTTATCTTTCAAAACAAGGTTAGATACTCCTAATTTTTTTTTCGCAAACAGAACCGCCTCTGTGAAATTATGTTTCATGGGCGCCGCCATATTGAATAACTAGAGGACTATTTTGTGATTCGGCTTTGATTAGTTTGACATCTTTCATACACACAGCGGCTAAATAAACATATTTAATTTCATTCAATATGACAATAGAAGAGAAATAAATACTTTTAAAAATTTCTAAAAGCATACTCAGTGTTTTCGACTAAAATCGTCGATGTAGGAATTAAAATGTCGGTTAATTAGCTTAGGGCCTATTCTCAGCCGGAGCTAGCTGTAGATATGCAGCCTAAGTTTGGGATGCTACTTAGCTGCACATACGACACGCAATAGCGCCATACACGTGGGAGGGGTTCATTGTCAAATTTGACACTTCAAGGAAGATTGATGAAAACTGTCGCGTG